ACTAGTTTCTCCTAAGACCAGGATTCATTCTATGAGTTCTCTCAACAGCAAACACTAATAGTTTAGTATCCAATGTCATTAACAGAACACTATCTTCATGACTCATTATACATTTCACATATTAAATATGAACTGAAAGTCAACCACAGCTGCATCTTAAAATTTTCCCATTCTTGGGGGGGGAGGGGATGGGAAGGGGAAACAATGTTTGATAAGAAATGAACTCATTACCTTGCTCATGTAATTGTAACCCCTCTGTACGGTATTTTCACACAGAAAAAAATCCCATTCTTTCCTTCTTATGAAATTCAGAGGTTGCACTACAAGTTTCTACAGCTCTGCTTTGTCTATCAACAGTGCTGCTCAAGTCCACAGAAGCACAGCACAGATTGTGTTCCTTCCCCACCAGAGCTCTTTTGTTTCCTCATTCTTCCCAGCTAATTTTTTTTCTTCCTGATCAGCAGGGCCTGCAGTGTCTGTCATTGATAATTTATAGTATTTTAACATTTTAACTATCATTTCGTCGTCACCAACACCATGCTTTTATTTTATCTACCACCAGACCATCATAACATTCCCTAAAGAATTTCAAACCACAGCTTACCAACAAATAACAAAAAGGATTAAAAAATATTTATTGATCTTTGCACTTCTCATTGCTCAAGGTAATCAAGTTTAGTGTGGGCTTCAGATAACTGAACTTTAGCTACTATTAAGCTAAAAGCTACAATGAAAAGAAAGCATAGACTTGAGCCAAGAAGACTAGAGTTGGCTGTGTACTCTGAGGTAAAAAAAACTTAACCTCACCTCACACTACCTCTATTTATTTCATAGAGCCACTGCAAGAATAAAATATAAAACCATATGCAAATGTAAAATCATATGCAAATACAAACTGTCTTTTGGTCAAATTATGTTAGAGAAAAAAAGCAAGGTCTCCCACAAGGTAAAAGAATATCCTGAGTCTTTACCCAAAAATGTTTCCCTTTACTTGTTATCAATTAGCCATTTGTTGAAGTTCCTCTTTCAATTATCTACTGGTGATACTAACTCTACAGTCCATTCTAGTCTTTGTAAGTTTTGATACTAAAAATAAACACAGCTTGTCTTGCTACAGGAGTCATTTCTTCACTAGATGAGCCATTTTCAAAAGGAAAAATAAATTCTCCAGGGAAAGAGCAGCAGCTCTTTTTTTTTTTTTTTTTGATCACAGGTACTACCTTAGCCCATTTTCTGTGTTCTAACCATCAATGGATGTGACCCCACTGTTTTTGTTTACAAAGCAGACACTCACATAAAAAGAGGTAAGAGGGGACTAGATGTAATTAAGTCTCTATGAATAGAGGAAAAACTAACTACATTTTACAAAACGCCTGTCTACCTACAACTTACTAAACTTTCTATGTACAATTTCTAATTTTACCAAAAACAGCTTTGTGAGCAACTCAGTATTATGGATGAGGAAAAGCGCTGATTAGGACACTGTCTTCTTTTTTGGGGGGTGGGGTCTGGTTGTGGGGCCTGAACTCTGGGCCTGGGGCTGTCCCTCAGCTCTTCAGCTCAAGGCTAGTGCTCTACCACTTGAGCCACAGCGCCACTTTCAGCTTTTTTCTTTTTGCGTATGTGGTGCTGAGGAATCGAACTCAGAGCCTCATGCATTGCAAGGCAAGCACTCTACCACTGAGCCAACTTCCCAGCCCCTGGACATTGTCTTTTTGAAGAACGGAGTGAGTAGTCTACACCAATATATATTAGATTCCCATTTTCAAGTGCCCATTCTTCCTAGACTCTTACCTTTCCATGGTCACTATGGACTTCATGGTAGGATCCTCAAGATGATCTCTCCCCTAATTCTGAAGGACTTCCACACCAAGTCCAGACCCAAATTGTTTTGAAAGAGGAAATGAGAAGGTAATGTTCAATTCATATACCTTATAGGGGGAACTTATGCATCTACAATTGGGTTATATAATCACAAGTTACAAGGCACTATAACAAACTGTATTAAGTGAAAGGCCCTAATGTACTTATTTTAACTGTACTTATTTTTAATGAAATTTTATCTCTTTTACAGAAATGTTTCCACAACTCTAGATTGAAGGTATGTTAAGGGAAAAAAAGGTGAGTTTTGATCACAGGTACTACCTTAGCACATCACCTAACACCTTTAAGGGCTGGAACACTTTGACTTCCAGGCCTGAGGCTGCTTTTTATTTATTTTGCAGGGGAGGGGAGGGAGGGGGAGGCTTGGCCTGGGGCTTAACCTCAAGGCCAGCAGGGCTGTCCTTCAGCTTTTTTGCTCAAGGCTAGGGCTCTACCACTGAGTTACAGCTCCACTTTCCCACATTTTGCTGGTTAATAAGAGTTTCAGAGACTTTCTTGCAGCAGCTGGCTTTGAACCTGGATCCTCTGATCTAAGCCTCCGGAGCAGATAAGATTACAGGCATAAGCCAGTGTCCAGCTTGAGCTTTCTCATTTGTAAGTGGTAATAAAACCTATCTATTTTTTTCTTACAGATTTGCTGCAGGTGTTAAAAGATAATACACACATCCATGGCTTTGCTAAATGTTACTCAAGCACATCTTGACAAATTAATGTTAATCACAAGCTCATTTAACATAAAACCTATGCTCCACTGCTGCCATCAAACTTGAAAACAATATTCTCAATTAAAATAATAGTTAAGTCATTTTATGAAGTACTTGAAATTCTCTAAAATTCGTATTATGAGTGAAAAAATCTTGACTGTAAACATTTACATATAATGACCTATGGGGGGGGGAACTCCCTAAGCTTTAAAGAATCCAATAAAGTACATTAGAGAAAATTAGTTTCTAGTTTCTCTAGGAAAAATGGTAAGTGGTAATAGGAAGCACAAAGTGATTTCAAGATCAAACTATGAATAGGAATGCCTCTGATGTCAGATAGTTAATACAAAGGAAATATGTAAATTTTCCAGAATTCTATTTAATTTTCTGAAATTTATAGTGATTTTCCCATTCTAAGTATATAGTCTTTCTCATACTACACACATTACTAGGACTTGTCAACAAATGGTAGTAACTTCCTAAGACTATTTATGTAGGGGTAAGAGTGCTGTTTTTGTTATTTTAAGATACAGAAGAGACCACAGCTTGCTGTTCTCGTGGAAGAACCTTCAGATTCTTCATGGTTTATTCACTTACTAATTCCAATGCCATCTGTGCTCTTCACTGGGCACTTGTCTAGGGAAAAGAGGGGCTAAAAGTTAAAATATAGTGGAGATAATTTGACAGTGTCATGTTTGAAGTGCGGGAAGTGCACACCGTGAAGCATGTAAAAACTGAGAATGCCTGCCTGCTTGAGCTCAGGGGGGCAGGTACCTGTTCAATGGATGCAGGACGCAGAGGGATGGACAAAGGGGAAGGACTTTCCAAGCTGTAAGAAATGGCAACTGGGTTTCTAATACTGAGTAGAGAATTACAAAGTGAAATCGAAATTTTATTCTACAATTGGTTAGTCAAGTTGGAAGAGAACTTGCTTTAAACTAGTTAAATGGCTTTCTCAAAACTACGAGGTAACTCAAAGGGTGCGTTTAAGCCTGTTTATATCCAGTTTTCTTTAAAACTCGGTCAAACATTACCAACCCCGCAGGAACTGAATTTTAAAGGGACGCGGAACCAGCGGCTCCAGCACTGCATTCAGGTACTGCGGGGCCGGGGGAGGCGGGGCGGAGACCCAAGCCCCAGATTATAGGTTCCGACCGCTGTCAATCACTTGAGTAGCTGCAGATGTGAACCCCTCCCCCTGGCAACCCTCCTCCGGTCCTGGCATCATCCGTGGCTTTCGGAGCCAGAAACTTGCGCCCGGCCCCACTATCACCCGTTCGGAAAGCGGACCGAAAACCACCCTAAGAGCTCGGGGGCAAAGCGCAAAGCCCGGAGGCCGCGCCCCGCGCTCACACACAGCAAACAAACAGCCGGCGGCGCCTGGAGCCTTCTTGTTTTGTTTTGTTTTAATCCGACTGCGGCGGCGTCGTAAACTGAAAGGCGGAGACGGGAGCGGCCGGCCGCACTCCCAGCCTCCCGAGGCTGAGCCTCCCTCCCTCCGCCGCTCGCCAAGTCCACCTCTTTCGCCATTCATCGCCCTCCCTCCCCTCCCCCCCGTCATGTGACCGCAGCCTGGACGCCAGGCTTGTTTTTCCCCTCGGCTCAGCCCCACTGCGCAGGCGCCCCGGAGCCCATTCATTCGAACTGCGTAACAATGAGCCCCGGGGCCCTGCGGCTCCGCGAGCTTCCCGGCTCGGTCCGAAAGCCGGCCCGGCCCCGGAGGCCTCGACGCCTCCAGCCGGGTCCCTCCTCGAGGCCTGACCTCCGCTCGCCGCCACTCTCCGACCCAACGCCGAGAGGCGATCGTTGAAGTCAAACTTTCCGGGGCAAGCCCGGCCAAGCTCCGGCCTCTTCCCCCACCCTGGCCCGCCCCACCTCAGCGCCCGGCCCGGGCCGACGGCCCGCCGCGAGCCGCGGCC